AAAAACGGATAATGACCCACAACTCGTTGACATCTGGGCCGATTTGGAAGCCACATACCACGACAAAGCCGGCCCCAGCATCACGTCAACAACCGCCGAAGGGGACAACTTAGTGGCAAGCCTGAGCGTTGACAACCTACAAAAGGAGGCAAACAGGAGAGAATCAAGCCAAGACAGGAAAACAACAGCGCTGATCTCGAGACCCAATCAATCAGACTATGCAAGGATCGCTAAACAGTTCCGCGAATGGTCGTTCAGGTTCGATGGGGCGGAAAAACCGTTCGAGTTCCTGGAGCAGGTGGAATGGTCCGCCAACACATACGGCTTGGAGTTAGACATGATTCCCCGAGCGATGCCTGAATTGCTGAAGGGAAGGGCTTTGAAGTGGTTCATCGCCAACAACAAACAATGGAAAACCTGGGCGGAGTTCATAGATAGTTTCCACACATACTTTATACCGAAAGACTTCTTCACCAGGCTGGCGGATCAGGTCAGGCAACGGAAGCAGGGCTTCAGCGAGTCGTTCAAAGACTACATGATCGACATGCAGACGATGGTGAGGCCACTTAATTACTCCACTATAGAGACCCTAAGAATCATCAAGGAGAACTGCACCCCCAGTCTAAGGATCTTCCTAAGGGCATACAAAGTGTCGGACCTGGACACGCTGATGATATTAGCAGACGAGTATGAAGAACTCGAAAAGGAGCGGGAAGCGTTCGCGCAGGAAAACAAATTCTCGAAGAACAAGTCGGCATCGCCAGCGCAGGTAACATGCAGAAGATGCGAAGAGACAGGAATCCAAGACGCGGGGAAACGACCAATGGTCGCCACCTAACCGAGTACCACGGCAGCAGGCAACAGGAGCACCACGCGGAGGCCAATGGACACCACCACAACAGCAACAGATGCAACCAGCAAACAATGTTTGGAGGCCAACAAGTACAACACAAAGGCCTCGTGAAACGACACACATCACAGACCCCCAGGAGGCCTGCCGAAAGTGCGGCGGTCATGGACACTGGGCGCGGGGATGTCGGCACCAACGCTTGTTGTTCTGCTGGGTGTGCGGGAGAGTAGGCGTCAGGAGCGTTGAATGCTGCCAGCAGGCGGGAAATGCCCAGCGATCTCAGCCGCAGAGAGGCGAGCGGGGGTCGCAAGATGCTACCTCTCCAAACTAACGGGAAAGCTGATCGAGGAGGAGCAGCAGTTGTCCGCAGCGGTGACGATTGGTGGGGGCACATACAAGGCCACAATCGACACCGGGGCAACAGCAAGCTTTATAAGCAAAGAGCTGGCGGACAACCTGGCTGCCCTCGGAAAGATTACGAGGATACGACGGCAAGTTAGGTTGGCAGACGGAAGATGTGGCGGAATCGATGAGCAGCTGGAGGTGGAAATCGCGTTCGGGAACAAGCGACTGAGCATGAGCCTGCTGATACTACCAGGAGTAGTGGATTCATTGGTGTTGGGATGGAACTTTCTAACACAAGTCGGTACCGAAATTAAGATCGCTGGACACGAAGTGATAATACCGGCCAGGAATCGTCACAAGGGATGGCTCGAGGAAAAGTTGTCGGTGGCAGTCGTACAACGGGCAAGCGAAGATGACGACACGACGAAATTCCTGGAGGCAGAGCTGTCGACTTTCAGCAGCATGAAGGGAACATCAAACATGGCAGAGCATCAGATCACGATGAAAGACGACAAACCAATAAAGCAGCGATACTATCCCAAGAATCCGAAAGTTCAAGGGGAGATCAATGCGAAGGTGGACGAGCTTCTCCAGCGTGATGGTTAGAAAAAAGACGGGCAAATGGAGACTGTGCGTCGGCTTTAGGCAAATAAACGCCAAATCTGTAAAGGATGCCTACCCGATGCCCCGAATAAATTATATTCTCCACCAACTGAGGGAAGCACGGTACATCAGCAGCTTGGACCTAAAGGATGGGTACTGGCAAATCCCACTGAAAGCGGACAGCAGGCAGTATACGGCATTTACAGTGCCGGGGAAAGGTTTATTCCAATGGAAAGTAATGCCATTCGGACTTCATTCGGCGTCTGCGACCTTTAAACAAGTGCTGGACCGGGTGATCGGCCCAGAAATGTCGCCGCACGCATTTGCTTACCAGGACGACATCATAGTGATCGGGCGCTCGCTGGAAGAACATAAGGCCAACCTAAAGGAAGTGTTCCGACGACTAAAGGAGGCAAATCTGAGATTAAACCCGGAGAAGTGTCAATTTTTCAAGAAAGAGCTGTTATATCTCGGTCATCGAGTGACTAGCGAAGGAATAGGCACGGATCCGGAAAAGGTAGCAGCCATCGCCGAACTAGAACCACCATCGACAGTAAGAGAGCTCCGACAGTACCTGGGCGTAGCATCATGGTACCGCCGGTTTGTACCTGACTTCGCAAAAATAGTCAAACCTCTCAACGATCTGCTACGCAAGGGCAATAAATGGGTGTGGACACAGGAACATCAGACGGCGTTCGAAGAGGTGAAGGCAAGACTCGTCGCAGACCCCGTACTGGCATGCCCGGACTTCGACAAACCATTCATCTTGCAAACTGACGCAAGCGACAACGGCATCGGGGCAATCTTGACCCAGGAAACTGAACGAGGCGAAAAGGTAATCTCTTACTCAAGCCGAACGCTCAACGGCGCTGAGAAGAATTACTCAACAACCGAGAAGGAGTGCTTGGCAATCGTCTGGGCAATCCGAAAGCTCAAGCCGTATCTGGAAGGTTACCACTTTAAAGTAGTAACCGACCACATGGCACTGAAGTGGCTCAACAGCATAGAGAGCCCTTCAGGGAGGATCGCCAGATGGGCCCTGGAGTTGCAGCAGTACGACTTCGAAATAGCGTACAGGAAAGGGCAACTCAACGTGGTGGCAGACGCTTTGTCAAGGCAGCCACTGCCGGAAACGCTTCGAGGGATCAAGGAGACGTCGGCGGCGGAAGCTTCTGCAGCATGCAGCTGGATTCTGGAAATGCGCGAAAAGATAAGGACCCAGCCGCAAAAGTATCCAGACTACGTGATGGAGGGTAACACCCTGTACAGGAATATACCTCATAGAGCGGGCAGCGAAGATGTTGCAACATGGAAGATGTGCGTCCCGAAAGCTCTACGGGAAACGGTGCTGAAGAAGAACCACGACTCACCGGCGGCTGGCCATGTAGGAAGCCGAAAGACAATAGCACGTCTGGCACTACGTCCGGTACTACTGGCCAGGAATGCACAGAGACGCCCGAGCCCACGTGCGAGCATGCGAGACATGGATGAGGTTCAAGCCGAATCAGATGCAAATGGCTGGGAAAATGCTTACGCAGGTGCCAGAGGAACCATGGGCTACGGTATGTGCGGACTTCGTCGGACCCCTGCCGCGTTCGAAGCACGGCAACCAAATGCTGCTGGTATTGATAGACAGGTTCTCCAGTGGACTGAGTTGGTGCCGCTGCGAAGCGCGACGGCCGAATCCCTAAAGAAAGCTTTTAAAGAACGCATAATCGCGAGGTATGGGGTCCCCAAAATAGTCATAACGGACAACGGAGTCCAGTTTACCAGCAAAACCTTCAAGAGTTTCTTCCATACACCCCACAGGAGAACCCGACTGAGAGAGCCAATAGGACGGTGAAAACAATGATTGCGCAGTTCGCAGGGCAGAACCAAAGAGACTGGGACGAAAAATGGCCAGAAATCATGCTGGCAGTAAACACGAGCGTTTCAGAATCCACAGGTTACACACCGTCGTTCATTACCCAAGGCAAAGAACCAAGACTACCGAGCGCCCTATACGACAGAGAAACAGTAGGGACCGGACGACCGACAGAGACCCCGGAAGAGAATGCTAACAAACTCAGGGAAATCTTCGAGATTGTAGGGCGAAACCTGGAGAAAGCATCCCAGGACCAGGCTAGGCATTAGAACCTAAGGAGGAGGCAATGGACGCCAAAGGTGGGTGACGTCGTGTGGGCCAAGGAACACCATTTATCAAAAGCGGCCGAGGGGTTCGCAGCAAAATTGGCCCCAAGATACGACGGACCTTACCAAGTCATAGGTTTTGCGTCACCAGTAATCTGCAAAATACGACACATAAACACAAAGAAAGAGCGGACCATCCACGTAAGCGAGCTGAAACAGCAACAAACGGAAAACACAAGCGAGCGGCTACAGCAAGCAGACACAACAGATGCAAAACAACATTAAAAGTCCAAGGATACCTCCAAGGATGACCAAAGGATAATACGAAAGGATCCCAAGGATACCTACAAGGATGCCCTAAGGATACTACGAAAGGAGTCCAAGGATACCTCCAAGGATGCCCGAAGGATACTACGAAAGGAGTCCAAGGATACCTCCAAGGATGACCAAAGGATACTACGAAAGGATCCCAAGGATACCTCCAAGGATAGCCAAAGGATACTACGAAGGGAGTCCAAGGATACCTCCAAGGATAACCAAAGGACACTACGAAAGGATCCCAAGGATACCTCCAAGGATGCCCAAAGGATACTACGAAAGGAGTCCAAGGATACCCCCAAGGATGCCCAAAGGATACTACGAAAGGAGTCAAAGGATACGTCCAAGGATTCCCAAAGTGTACTACGGAAAGAGTCCAAGGATACCTGCAAGGATTCCCAAAGGATACTACGAACAAATTCCAAGGATACCTCCAAGGATACTACAGGGCATCTACAAAGGCGCGATGAAACACATAAAGGACATCAGGAGAACGTTAAGAACACAAAGGGAGCGAACCAGAGCGTCTAAGGTCTCGATTGGGACTGATCGGAGGAAAAGAAAAAACACGCATCAAAAGTCTGCCGAAGGAAGGGGGAAGACGGCACAGAGCAGAGAGCTGTACCGTAGATCTGGGTAGTAAGAAGGAGAGGCCGATGGAAATAGCGGGATTGAGCAAAGAGGAAGGCTCGGAACCGAGGTGTCGTTAAAGGGAGCCCAGGCTCCAGCTGCACAATCAAAATCAACGAGCATAATGAGCACACGTGTGACGAGGAGCGATGCGCGCAGGATGATGGCTGCCCACCAGTCGTCCGGAGGATCTAGCCCGGGGCAAGGATGGTCGGCAGCCCGGCCTACCCGAGCCTCGCGGCGGATCTCCGGGCGGGGCGTCCCCGATCCGGTGATCAGCACCGACAGCGACGTCGAGTTGGTGGAGGACCCGCGGGTGGAGCAACGGCGATGCCGGCTTCGCAAGGCGTTCAACCGGGCCGACGGAAGCATCCCGACTGGCGCGGCGCAGGTGGAGTGGGCCAGTGAAGAACCGGCCCAGGACCAGCCGGCTCCCGTTAGCCATGCCGAGGCTGTGGCAGCGGCTACGTGGGAGTTCCGGCGCAAGTGCGAGGCGCGAAGGCGAGACGAGGAGCGGCGGTTGAAGGAGATGGAGGGTGAGCCCGCTGGACCCCAGGATACGTGGCAGACCGGAGCAGTGGGCACCACCGACGCCGAGCACCGGACCAACGACGCGAAGGACAGGCCCTCGACGCCAACGCCTACCGGGAGCGCAGTAACCGCGGAGCCTCTGGAGCGAGGACCCTTGGTGTGGCCTGAGCCCGTGGAAAACGGCCGTCCTCCGCTCAAGCGGCAGCACTCGGCGCCCGAGGTGTCCGAGGTGGTGGCCCGGCCGAAGTTGTCGCGGACGGTGTCGGCGCCGGAGGGCCAGCGATGGCGAGAAATCGCGGAGACGGAGTGGCCCGAAGGGATCGCGGAGGCACCGGTGGTACAGGAGGCTCTCATCCTGGGCGGCAGGCGCAGCGTGCGCGTATGGAGAGAGCGGCGCGCGTTCCGCGTCCGGTTGGGGCTGGCGGGCATGAGAGTGTTCGAGGAGCAGAAATAAAAGTTAAATGAAACGAAAAACAGAGTTTAAAAAAAAAACCGGCATAGAACGGGAAACGCGGCTGAAACAGGGGCCAGAAGTAAGGGGCATACATGGCAGCTTCAGCGTCCTGAAATCAATATTGGGTTAATACAGGAAGCAGCCAAGCGACACCAAAATACTTACCTGCAGCGAAGCAAATGCGAAGTCCTCTCTGCACCAGCTTTCGAGTGTTGCCAGCGTAAAGCCAGGCTCAGCCGGCCGAGGACGATTGAAGGGCGAGAGAGAGAGACGAGAGACGAGAGAGGTCGTGTGGAGAGAGAAAGGATGAAATAGAAAGGAGTGAGGAAATGCGAAAACTTACCTAGAAAGTTGCAAAATCACCATGAGCCAGGGAAGGGGGCGCCTCGATAGGCGATCGATTGGTACTAAAGGCCAAAGGTGGAAATATCGCAACGAGCAGGTGGCAACGCCGCACCGTCGATATCGATATCGCACATCGATCACACACGAATGGTGTGACCAGGCGGAGGAAGCAAATAAAAGGAGTAGAACGCAGCGATGAGCAGCGAGCTGGGGATCGATAGCACACGAGTATCGATGTCCCAGTGGAGTCAGGAAAGATATCGGCGCGGGAGATTCAAGTTGCTACGAGGAGGATGGCCAGCGCTGTAGAAACTCAACGGAGTTAAGAGCGTCGTGGGAGCATCGAGGGAGCAACGAGGGAGCGCCGCGGGAATCACAAGGACTCGAAGGCTAGGATAAACAAGAAAACGCCGGAGAGTAGGAACAAGTTTAAAATGTTTCCCGAAGTATGGGGGGAATGTGAGGAGTTGAATAACTCCCCACAAATAGAAACAGCAGCAGATGGCCGGCCGCTTGCCAGATACACGGCGAATTCGCGTAGTAACGGCGCGGCGAGGAGAGCGAGAGAGTTTGGAGACCAAGGATGGAGATCGAGAGAGAGTGGAGACTTCGCGGGCAAGGCAAGAGTGCCGTGTGCAAAAGCGGGTAACGGAACTCCACCGGACCTTGGACTCTCCCGTGAACTTTGGACCGGGAGAGGAAGTGCCACATCTCGGCGGTGGAGCGGCACACAGGCGTGCCACAAGCATCACAGGAATCAGCGGGATGGCAGCAGTGGGCGGAGCATCGATTGGAAGCGGTACGGGAACGACAAGTGGGTCATCCAGGAGGCACGGACTTTGGACCCAGAGTGGAGAGATCCAGCGGGCCGTGCGCAAAAGGGAAATAACGGTTCCCGGAGGCCCTATATAAGGCCGCAGAGCGCTGGCAGCTGGATCAGTCGATCACAAGGAGTCAAACCGTCAAGATCACTCAGATACCAAAGTGAACAATCAAACAACCAGATAATCTACAAGGGAGCAGCAGCAAGTCGAGTCGCCAGAGAAGCAGCACTGTGGGAGCCTACAAGGAGCGAGATTGCTACGTCGAGACGTTCGGGATTGGGATACCAGGAATCTCCGAATTGAGACGCAGGTAGCTGAGATCCAGAGGGCATCACACGGCTAGGTCAAGGCGGTCGATTAACCCTGTCCACAAAGTCCTGGCGTTACGCCTGGAAAGAGTATAACAGGCCAGAAGGGAGAGCGGTCGATCGGTAAGGTCTCGAGTGGAATTGTCCAGGAGAGCCCTACGGATTCGACTTGCGAGGTCCCGGAGCGGCGTGCCCGAACCCCGAGTACCAAAAGCCACACGGAAACGTCCCGGACAAAAAGGCAAAAGGGTGAGGCTAGGGTGGAACCTTCGTTTATACTAGGCGTGGAAGCGAAGTAAGGCGCGAGGCAGCTTCCTGGCGTTCCGCCTTGACTGTCCGCGCGGGCTGAGCAGAAACCCAGTGGGACCATCCGGGACAGAGCAAGGGACAGGCGGCGGTGTGTCGAAAGGAGCGATCCTGGAGAGCGCAGCTTCTGTTCACCCTAGTCTGAGAACGGTGACGCTTCCCTAAGCCCGTACGGCCGATACCCCTCGCGATTCCGAGTCGTTACCAACAGTCACCAAGTCACGCGTGACAAGTAAGCAGCGAGCGAGCGTCTTCAGGGAGCTGCGAGGATCTTCAGGGAGCGGCGAGGATCTTCAGGGAGCTGCGAGTATCTTCAGGGAGCTACAGGACTGGAGCACCGAGTCTTCAAGGCGAGAGGTCGTCGAGTCAATCAGGGCCGTCGGAAGCACCGAGGGTCACAAGCAACGAGTCAAGGCCAACCAAGCGACTAAGACACTTGTAATAATATACCCGCAATAAAACCCAATACGAACCCGTGAATTCTATGCTTTCTCACTGAGCTACTGGGCGGTCACGTTAATATAAATTTGGTGGGACGAACACACAATATACTGAGCTAGCCGCACGAATCTCGTAGCGAGCAGACCATAAAAATCAGTTCGTTACAGTTTCTACAGCGCTGGCCATCGTGGGTTCGTGCCCCACGTTGGGCGCCAGATGTAACGAACTGATTTTTATGGTCTGCTCGCTACGAGATTCGTGCGGCTAGCTCAGTATATTGTGTGTTCGTCCCACCAAATTTATATTAACGTGACCGCCCAGTAGCTCAGTGAGAAAGCATAGAATTCACGGGTTCGTATTGGGTTTTATTGCGGGTATATTATTACAAGTGTCTTAGTCGCTTGGTTGGCCTTGACTCGTTGCTTGTGACCCTCGGTGCTTCCGACGGCCCTGATTGACTCGACGACCTCTCGCCTTGAAGACTCGGTGCTCCAGTCCTGTAGCTCCCTGAAGATACTCGCAGCTCCCTGAAGATCCTCGCCGCTCCCTGAAGATCCTCGCAGCTCCCTGAAGACGCTCGCTCGCTGCTTACTTGTCACGCGTGACTTGGTGACTGCTGGTAACGACTCGGAATCGCGAGGGGTATCGGCCGTACGGGCTTAGGGAAGCGTCACCGTTCTCAGACTAGGGTGAACAGAAGCTGCGCTCTCCAGGATCGCTCCTTTCGACACACCGCCGCCTGTCCCTTGCTCTGTCCCGGATGGTCCCACTGGGTTTCTGCTCAGCCCGCGCGGACAGTCGAGGCGGAACGCCAGGAAGCTGCCTCGCGCCTTACTTCGCTTCCACGCCTAGTGTAAACGAACGTTCCACCCTAGCCTCACCCTTTTGCCTTTTGTCCGGGACGTTTCCGTGTGGCTTTTGGTACTCGGGGTTCGGGCACGCCGCTCCGGGACCTCGCAAGTCTCCTGGATAATTCCACTCGAGACCGTACCGATCGACCGCTCTCCCTTCTGGCTTGTTATACTCGTGGTTCGGGCACGCCGCTCCGGGACCTCGCAAGTCGAATCCGTAGGGCTCTCCTGGACAATTCCACTCGAGACCTTACCGATCGACCGCTCTCCCTTCTGGCTTGTTATACTCTTTCCAGGCGTAACGCCAGGACTTTGTGGACAGGGTTAATCGACCGCCGTGACCTAGCCGTGTGATGCCCTCTGGATCTCAGCTACCTGCGTCTCAATTCGGAGATTCCTGGTATCCCAATCCCGAACGTCTCGACGTAGCAATCTCGCTCCTTGTAGGCTCCCACGGCGCTGCTTCTCTGGCGACTCCACTTGCTGCTGCTCCCTTGTAGATTATCTGGTTGTTTGATTGTTCACTTTGGTATCTGAGTGATCTTGACGGTTTGACTCCTTGTGATCGACTGATCCAGCTGCCAGCGCTCTGCGGCCTTATATAGGGCCTCCGGGAACCGTTATTTCCCTTTTGCGCACGGCCCGCTGGATCTCTCCACTCTGGGTCCAAAGTCCGTGCCTCCTGGATGACCCACTTGTCGTTCCCGTACCGCTTCCAATCGATGCTCCGCCCACTGCTGCCATCCCGCTGATTCCCGTGATGCTTGTGGCACGCCTGTGTGCCGCTCCACCGCCGAGATGTGGCACTTCCTCTCCCGGTCCAAAGTTCACGGGAGAGTCCAAAGTCCGGTGGAGTCCCGTTACCCGCTTTTGCACACGGCACTCTTGCCTTGCCCGCGAAGTCTCCACTCTCTCTCGATCTCCATCCTTGGTCTCCAAACTCTCTCGCTCTCCTTCATTGGTCTCAAAACTCTCTCGCTCTCCTTCGTTGGTCTCCAAACTCTCTCGCTGCGCCGTTACTACGCGAATTCGCCGCGTATCTGGCAAGCGGCCGGCCATCTGCTGCTGTTTCTATTTGTGGGCAGTTATTCAACTCCTCACACAGTCCTAACCCTGTTATATAACCAACGCGCTTTGAGAAACCGAATTTAAGAATTAATGTGAAAAGAATATCAATGAAATCAAAGATATGTAGACCATAAAGCAAACAATAATTTTTCGTAAAGCCTCAAGTGGCAACGCCATGTAAAGCAATAGTTATATTTAACAAATTAAAAGAAATTTACAAGTCGATCGGGTCAAAAGAGATAATGCACGCCGAGAAGCATTAATTTAATTTAAGAAGAGTTAGATTTTTTTTAGGTTTAAATAAGAAATTTGTTATTGTAAAGCGTTCAAGGAAGTACGATGAATTAGGTACGGGTTACAAGTTTAGTTTAAATCGTTCGCGCGTCTAAGAGAAATGAGAGAAATGTTTATTTGCCCTTAAATATGAATATGAATGAATATTATCTTCCTATGCCTTATTTTTTCAAATACCCTATGTTCTTTTTATAAATATTAAATATGACTTGTAACGCTATCCACGGAAAATTAATTACCTTTTCGAACAGAAATAAAACCATGGATCTGTAAATAACATTGAACTGAACTAGCTGATGATTTCTCGATCGTAGGGTATCAAAGGGGTCACCGAAGCCATGCTTTAAGGTGGCGATCGTAGGTTGGGAGGGCCATACGCGACCACAATACCATCCGCATTCCATTCGCATAGCTAACTTTCTCCAAATCTTTTCTGTCCCTATAATACTTATTCCTGAATTTATTTATCGTTCTCTTCCGGTTTCAGTTTACTATTCTCTCTTGTCGCTAGCACGCTTATTTCTGATCTTAGTGATAATAATGTGTAGTCAGTACGCAAATCTGTAGGCGCAAGACCTCCACCCCCAAAGCCGACGAGCGTGCCCCGCAACTGCAGATTCCCGATTTCGTCCAACCGTTACACGCTACACTCCCCAAGTCAAAAGTAGTAGGAAGAAAAAAATAATTGAAAAATTAGGAGATTTTGAAGGGTGTTGGAAAGTGAAGAAGATTTGATTATTGTAATTTATTTTTGCTATTAGATATTTTCGTATTTATTTTGATATTTATTATATTATTTATTAGTTGTCTTATTAGTTGTTAGTTGTCTTATTTATTTATCATATTTATTATCGTATTAGTAGTTATTAAGTATTTATTTAAAAATTCTTGGGAAGTATGTCCGAGGGTAAAGACGTCAGGGATAGGCACGGCCACCAGCTCAGATCGATGGGTCCTCCTGGCGACGACAAGGACGATATCTGGTCCACGGGTGTAGAGGGTGCTGCTGGGTTGCCGCGGATATCGCTGGCTGGGGGTTTACCCAGAACGCCGGTAGGCGGTAGTGCGGTGGATCGGATTCGGGATCAACCGGCGGATCTGGAGCACCATCGGTCGCCCATGGTCCTGGATTTCAAGGCAATCGTCGAGGCGCAGGATCGACTTCTGGTTCCGGAGCAGACGGCCCCACAAAAGCTGAACACGGAACGGGATACAGCGGCGGAGTCGGCGGTGAACGCAGCTCTGGCACAGGCTGCCCAAACCTATCGCGCATCACAGGAGTTAGGAGTGAGCCAGGCGTTGCGGGAAGAAATCAAGTTGTTGAACGACGTCCATAAGCCAGCCGAGAGCAAACTGCAGCCGCTTCAGGAGAGCGCGAGTCGCCAAGTGTCGATGGTGCCCACCCCGTCGTGTCCAGAAGGCGGCGCAAATGGCCCAGCGGAGATTCAGCAGCGGCAGGATACAGGAGGATGCTACCGAAGGCCGCCGGAATTGCCACCCAGGCAGCGACCTCGACTCTCCAGGGATCGACAGGAGTCTGAGCCAGGAACCCTGTCATCCGACAGGCAGGAGCGATCGCCACGCACGGCCATGGCGCATCGAGGACGGCGTATTTTCGGGACGAGCCGCGGTTATACGCCAACGCGTGAGCCGGCAACGGAAACCGCTACATCCGAGTGGACCGCTGGAACCTCTCATTCGGCGGAAAGGAGTTCCTGCAGTGGCAGCACCAGTGTCCGTGGAACGAAGTTCTGCGAAACTTCCACGTACTCCTATCCGGCAGAGCGAAGGAGTGGAATTGGGTACACGTACGCCAATCCAGAGTGGACACTTGGGCCCAGCTGCGCAGGGCTTCGATGGATCGGTTCCGTGGTCACCACGAAAGGATGCCTGAGCTACTTCAGCGTGACCAACAGCCGGGAGAGAGCGCGGATGACTACATCCATTCCATGCAACAAGTCGCCTCACGCCTGAAAACTCACGGTGGACGAACTTCGGTAGGAGTGTTTCGGTCGTCGAGGGCGCCCTGCTTACTTGCAGCAGAGCAAGTTGACGAAGTCGACGAGCAGCGAAACCTGGAAGTGGACGAGCTTCGTGGACGTGTCCGAAAACCATTCAGGCCAGGTTGCTGGAATTGCCGGGCTGCGGAGCACGGATTCCAGGATTGCGAGCAGACCGGGCGTAATTTATCCGAAATGTCCCGATTGCGCGGAAAACGGTCGGCTGGGCAGTCCGAAAGCGGCAAAAACTGTCGAGAGCTCGTGGAAACGCTGGGAGTTACCGTCCAACCGTATTTTTCGGTAGTCCGAACGGCTTCTGGCGAGGATCGATCCATCATCGGACGCTTGGAGCTGCCTGTGAGGTACAAAGGCGTAAGTAAGCCGGTCACGTTCTCCCTGTGCCCATACCTGGAACAAACTGCGTACTTCGGAGTCGACTTCTGGCGAACCTTCGGACTAGCTCCAGCCGTCGTGGGGAAGCCGGTGACGAGAGGCGTCAAGGCAGCGGAGGGAATCCATGCCAGCCAGATGGAGCACTATGCCGACCAGGAAGATGAGGACGAGGTAAGGGAGGAACCGGAATCCTGGAGCCTTTCTGCGGCGGAAAAGCTGGCGTTAGGCAAGGACAAGGAGGAGTTCCTTACCTCACTAGCATGGAGAGGCATTCCATTGAGCTGATGGAAGGAGCTCGGGTCTTTAAGGATCGTCCGTATCCGATGTCTCCGGCGAAGCAGAAGGTGGTCGAAGACGAAATCGACAAGATGTTGGAGCTGGGTGTCATCGAGGAGAGCAAAAGCCCGTGGAGCAATCGCACAACAGTGGTGTCGAAGCCAGGGAAAGACCGGTTCTGCCTGGATGCCCGGAAGTTGAACGCCTTGACTATCAAGGATGCATACCCTCTGCCCAGTATAGAAGGAATCCTCTCCAGAATAGATCAGACGCATTACATCTCCAGCGTTGACCTGAAGTTTGCGTTTTGGCAGATCGAACTGGATGAGAAAAGCAAGGTTCCAGACAGGCCGTTGTACCAGTTCCGAATGATGCCGTTCGGACTGTGCAACGCGGCACAACGCTTGGTGCGGCTCATGGATTGGGTGATACCAGCGGAGCTCAGATCCAACGTCTTCGTCTACTTGGACGACCTGCTAATCCTAGCTCCAGATTTTCAGACGCACCTGAAATACTTGCGTCGGGTAGCCCACAGTCTGAAATCAGCCGGATTGACCATAGGGTTAAAGAAGTCGAAGTTTTCCTTCAAATCTTTGACTTACTTAGGGTTTATAGTCGGAGGTGGACTGCTGCGGATGGATCCTGGACGTGTTACGGCAATCCAGAAGATGCCTTACCCGAAATCCATGAAGGCAGTATGTGCCTTCCTAGGCACAGCGGGATGGTATCGACGGTTCGTCAAGAACTTCGCTACGCTAGCCGCACCACTCTCCGAGTCCTTGAAGAAGGCTGGAAACACAAAGTTTTCCCTAAGTCCCAGCGCCACCCAGGCAGTGGATGACCTGAAGTTGGCCTTGACGAGCGCGCCGGTCCTGGTTCATGCGGATTTCAAGAAGCATTTCTTCATCCAGTGCGACGCATCCCACGTTGTCGTCGGCGGATCTGTCCGGACGACTCGCAAGGTGGTCTCTCCAGCTGCAGGGCTACGATTTCAGCATTGAACATCGTAAAGGCAGCGAGAATGTAGTCGCCGACACTCTGTCCCGCATCATAGAGGAAGTCCGGATAGATCCAACGGAGTTACTGGGATTCGAGACGACCGAATTTGCTGCGGAGGATTATACGGAGTTAGTGCAAGACGTGGAGTCCAACAGGGAGCACTTACCGGACCTCAAAGTGGACGGCGGACTAATCTTCAAGCGCATGAAGAATCCGGAAATGGACGAGGAACTGGAGGGATCCGAATGGAAGCTGTGGATCCCGCAAAGCCTGACGCACAGCTTGGTAGAGCGTGCTCATTCGGACCCCAAGGCTGGCCATGGTGGGATGACGAAGACCTTGGAGATCCTGCGACGCCAGTTCTATTGGCCAGGGATGACCATCCAGGTACGGGAATACGTCCGGAGTTGCGATGTGTGCAAGGAATCCAAAGCGCCAAACTTCCGGATGCAGGTCGGAATCGGAAGAAGGGTAGAGACGGAGAGGCCATTCCAGAAACTGTACATCGATTTCCTGGGCAAGTATCCGAGGTCCAAGAGTGGACACGCCTGGATATTTATCGTGGTGGACCACTTCTCGAAGTACAACTTCTTAAAGGCGATGAAGGAGGCGACGGCGTCGAACGTTGTAAATTTCTTGGTAAACGAGGTATTTTACAAGTTCGGGGTGCCTGAGACGATACATTCGGACAACGGCAAACAATTCGTATCCAAGGCGTTTGAGGAGATGATCGATGGCTTCGGTGTACAGCACATGAGGACTCCCGTATACTCACCACAGAGCAATGCCGCGGAGAGGGTAAACCGAAACGTCTTGGCCGCAATTCGCAGCTTCTTGGACGAAGATCACCGGGAATGGGATGCACATTTTCCGGAGATTGAGGTGGCCATCCGAAACACTGTCCACTCAGCCACAGGGGAAGCGCCGTTCTTCACTGTATTCGGCCATCACATGTTCCTCAACGGTTCCAGCTACAAACTAGCCAGACGACTCAGGTCTCTGGTCGACCATGAAATGGCCGGAATACAGACCAAGGACAAGCTTCGGGTTATCCACGCCAAGGTGCAGAAGCAACTGGAGGGTGCATACCAGACGAGCCGGCAGCGCTACGATAAGCGAGCCCGTACGCTGCTCGCCAAGCCAGGCCAAGAAGTCTTCCGCCGCAACTTCGTGCTGAGTGATTTCAGCAAATCTTTTAACGCCAAGTTTGCTCGCAAGTTCCTTAAAGCCAGGGTGGTCAAATCCGTCGGCAGCAATGCATACTTGCTGGAGGATCTCCAAGGCCGCAGTCTGGGAGTGTATCATGCCAAAGACATCCGGCTGTGACCTGAAAGAAGGACAAAACAAAGTATACGAGCATCGCGATCACAACTGCAATACTTCCCGTCATGCGTGGGCCCCGCGTTAGGCGCCGATCGAACTGCAGGATGGTATCAGTGCCGTGTTGAATCCCATCGTATCTCCAAAGCTACCAATTATTTCATCGTTCTGCTGAAACTCCGGGCAGCGCCTCTCGAAATCTTTGGTGGATGTTGCAATTGGATTCGCATGGGAGCGACGTTATCGATAGGTAAGGTCGATAGGGCGATAGCTGCAGCAGCGGGATGAGTCTGGCGGGCGATCTGGCCATTTAAAGATTAATCCCGGTTCGCTCTGGGATTACTTTAAATGGACCCATGTATCCAATGACCCAATTTTGAGAGAGGCCATGTAATATGGCGGGGGGTATGAACGATTATCAGCAGATATCGAGATAGTCGCGGCCATACTGTCCAACAATCAAGGCAGATGCAGCTAGGAGTGATAGTATAAATTTTCTTTGTGCTTGAAATTAAATAGTGAGTTATGTTAAAGTTCTATAGTAGTTCGGTATTTAATATTTATCATTTATAAAGGCAGCCGGGGTCCCAATACAAAGGGCCCCGGAAGATTTATTTGGATTCTACTGACATCTGCGCGACTTGCCATACCTGCCAGCCCGACTTGGCTGCCCAGCAACCGGTGTCCGTTCGACCCGTACCAGCGACCAGCCAGAAAAGCCTTCCACAGTCGACGCCGACGACGTCAACATTTCCCGGTGAGTCCGTTCCGGCGTACCGCGTCCTCCTCCTCTCGGGGACTTCCAGCGGTCGCATTGCGGCGCTGAGAAGTATCACCATTTTGTCTGGCAGCCGAATCTCGGACTGCCCGTGCACAACTCACCGGAGATCGCCGTTTTCCCGTGTGGAGAACCGTATCGCTGCTGGCCTCCGACGGGAAGTCATCAGCGCGGGCTATCATCGCCTCCAGGCCCGGCCCAACAGCGGCTGAAATTAAGGAAATTTTGAATACACGTGTACCTCGATTATATATATTGATATCTACTTACCTGTTTGTGAGTTTATCCGAAGTTAGACCCGAGAGCCTTATTTGTCCTCGTTGTTTGCTAAAAATTAAAAAGGTCGCGAGCATTAGTTAAATGGTATAGCTTACAGTGCATTTACGTACCTTTTTGGCCTGTCCCTTCTTTTCCCCTGGAGCTCTTCAGGATTAGGATTACACACGCGCTTCGCACATGTTCCTTTGAGGGCCGCGTTTCCATGCGAGCTCTACCAATACATGACTGGTAGAGCATAGTTTCCACGGCGCCTGTACTCTTTTCCAGCAAAACGAATCCTCTGCTTTGACCGCGTAAATATCCGACACGGCGGCCAGGTTTCGGTCTTAAAGGCTGAGGAAGGATAGATCTGTTAAGAGGAGCATGTATATAAACGATTGTACTTACGATATTTATTAAACCTTTGTAATACCCACAATGTGTAAGTAAGCTTTCCCAGTGGGGGAGATGGAACCGCAGTAGTCGCGAGAAGGGGGCTCCTGCCGACTGCGAATGGGTGGCGCACTGCAGCATCTTGAGGGCATCCATGGTTGGGTGGGAGCGCTTGGCTAGGACATCGATAGCCACCAAATGTAATCCATTTTTCCGTCAATATTTGTAGATTTTTGCTTTGTTTACGTTTTTTTTTGTCATTAGTGATGACCGATAATTTAGTAATGTGAGACCATGAAGTATCGATATTTATGTTGCGAACTGTGGCATTAGGGGTACTCTGCCCTGAGGAACGACTGAGATAGCGGCACTGCCACCAAAAAAAAAAAAGCAGTTCGTAACATATTGGCGCCCAATTTAAACAAAATAAATTGTCGAGGCGACGACGTCTCGCCCATTTATGACCCTGACGCCCCCGCCATCACGACCTGTGGCTTGCAACATAGATTGCAATTGCTAGGGAGTGGTCACGGGGAAGTCAGCTGTGTAGGGAAGTTGGAAGTAGAACGGGAGGCGGGTCGGCGGACATGGCCGACGATTTGCTCCTGGTCACAGGTTTGCCAGTGGACCGGTGATGGCATCTTGGAGCAAACCAAGATTTGCATCACGGGATGCACTGAAGGAAATCAGTGATAATTTCTGTGATAGAGTAGTTTTAAAGCTTGTATTTTGTTATTTAATTATTTTAATGTTTTTTGTTAGGATGTTGGGTTCCTGGGTTTTTCTCCCCGTCCTGGATTTCTAATTTTATGTCGGTTGTAAACTTAATTGCGTAATCGTGACCCGTAGCAACCCTACGCGTTGCACGGTTACCCCGATTTAAAATAGTGTTGCAATTGGAGTCGAGTGGGAGCGACGTTATCGATAGTTTAGGTCGATAGGGCGATAGCTGCAGCAGCGGGATGAGTCTGGCGGGCGATCTGGCCATTTGAAGATTAATCCCGGTTCGCTCTGGGATTACTTCAAATGGCCCATGTATCCAATGACCCAATGTCGAGAGAGGCCATGTAATATGGCGGGGGGCGATGATCAGCAGATATCGTGATAGTCGCGGCCATACTGTCCAGCAATCAAGGCAGATGCAGCTAGGAGTTCTAGTATAAATTTTCTTTGTGCCTTAAATTAAATAGCAGCCGGGGTCCCAATACAAAGGGCCCCGGAAGAATTTATTTGGACTCTACTGACATCGCCATACTTCGACATACCTACCAGCCCGACTTGGCTGACCAGCAACCGGTGTCCGTTCGACCCGTGCCAGCGACCAGCCAGAAAAGCCTTCCACAGTCGACGCCGACGACGTCAACATTTCCCGGTGAGTCCGTTCCGGCGTACCGCGGCCTCCTCCTCTCGGGGACTTCCAGCGGTCGCATTGCGGCGCTGAGAAGTATCGCCATTTTGTCTGGCAGCCGAATCTCGGACTGCCCGTGCACAACTCACCGGAGAGCGCCGTTTTCCCGTGTGGAGATCCGTATCGCTGCTGGCCTCCGACGGGAAGTCATCAGCCCGGGCTATCATCGCCTCCAGGCCCGGCCCAACAGCGGCTGAAATTAGGGAAATTTTGAATACACGTGTACCTCGATTATTTATTTTGATATCTACTTACCTGTTTGTGAGTTTATCCGGAGTTAGACCCGAGAGCCTTATTTGTCCTCGTTGTTTGCTAAAAATTAAAAAGGTCGCGAGCATTAGTTAAATGGTATAGCTTACAGTGCATTTACGTACCTTTTTGGCCTGTCCCTTCTTTTCCCCTGGAGCTCTTCAGGATTAGGATTACACACGCGCTTCGCACATGTTCCTTTGAGGGCCGCGTTTCCATGCGAGCTCTACCAATAAATGACTGGTAGAGCATAGTTTCCGCGGCGCCTGTACTCTTTTCCAGCAGAACGAATCCTCTGCTTTGACCGCGGAAATATCCGAGACGGCGGCCAGGTTTCGGTCTTAAAGGCTGAGGAAGGATAGATCTGTTAAGAGGAGCATGTATATAAACGATTGTACTTACGATATTTATTAAACCTTTGTAATACCCACAATTTGTGAGTAAGCTTTCCCAGTGGGGAAGATGGAACCGCCGTAGTCGCGAGGAGAGGGCTCCTGCCGACTGCGAATGGGTGGTGCCCTGCAGCATCTTGAGGGCATCCATGGTTGGGTGGGAGCGCTTGGCTAGGACATCAATAGCCACCAAATGTAATCCATTTTTCCGTCAATATTTGTAGATTTTTGCTTTGTTTACGTTTTTTTGTCATTAGTGATGACCGATAATTTAGTAATGTGAGACCGTGAAGTATCGATACTTATGTTGCGAGCTGTGGCATTAGGGGTACTCTGCCCTGAGGAACGACTGAGCTAGCGGCACTGCCACCAAAAAAAAAATGCAGTTCGTAACAAAAGCCTAGTACTCAGATCGACGAAAACCGCGAGCTAACCATAGGAGTGAGCGAGAGGCAAATATGTGGCTAACTCTTTTCGTCGGGTCCGTTTTTCAGCGCGGTACTCAGATGAGCTAAGGAAATACCAGTGTGAATTTTCGATGAACGCCGTTAGCCGCGGCCCAAAGAATTAGAAATTTAATCTTTGGCGGTGTTCGTGCAAAGGCGATGTGGAAACTAAAAATTAAAAATGAAAGGAAAACCACAAAATCGAATGCAGGATATCAGTGCAGATGAAATAGGACGCCAAATCTAAGCTTATGCCCTTTATTGTGGGATCTCACCGACAGGAAGCAAGTCCACAAAGGGATAAGTTCGCAGAATAGTTGAAGTGCTGGATGAGATCCACTAAAGAATTCCAGTGGGAAGGAAAATGCCGAGTGGGACTTCGATCTCTACATGGACATCCTGCCGGGCGCATCCCCGCAAAGAAAGTAAGATCTAGCCAAAAGAATTTGGTTGCGTTGTACTAATAGAAGTATGTACGTACTTTAAACCATTAATTAATTTACAACACCTTAAACTTAACGTAGCACTTAACTGACTATTATATTAACTTAAAGAAACGATTAAAGTAACTCTGATGCGCACAATTTAAATGGATGCTTCCCTTTCAATCACTCAAACAGATTCACCAAGTCTTTTTCTCGCCCCTTTACTTGATTTCTTTTGTTTTCTGTTCGCTGTTGGCGTGCCCCTGCACCTATACCCTTTCTTAAGCGAAAAATATACGACTATATTATTTTTACTTCTTGAGTAAAAATTACAACTTGAATTTTTTAAAAATGTTAATACCATAATGTTTTAAACATTGAAATCATTTTTAACGGACTAAATTTCTATAACTTAACTAACAAATTATATTGTAATAAAAATGTATAATAAGTAAACATAACATTATAAGTAAATTCAATTTACTTAATTTTACTATAACCAAATAATTTACTTTTATAAAATAATATTTGTTGTTTTTTCGATATAAAATAATGCTCCTAAAATATTAGGGCATTTACATGTCGCTGCTCCACGAAATTTTTTCCGCCGAAATGTTAGTCGCCAGCCGAACATAACAGAGAGACGCAAAAAATAACGGATTGGCCAAAATTTCTCTCTGAGAGAAAGAACTTCCAAATACCTACCTCTCTTTGTTGCACGATCGTTTTCGTAGACAGTCTTCTACGCCGCGCCGACTTCTCTGCTGACGTCAACAGCGGCACAGCATTTTAGGCACAAAAAAAAAACAAAAAATCTTTTTGCCTTGAGCCACCGCGTCCCTACTGCAGTTAAATTTGTTTTCTCCCATAAAAAATTGTGCGCCCCACATTGTTCGGCGGTTTGTGGGCGTTAGAGTGGGATATTTGCGTGACAAACTTGCGCTTGCACTTGTGGGCGTTAAAATGGGCGTGGCAAACTTTTTTTCGGTAGGTACTTATAAGAACAATAAAATTGAGTGAAAATGTTTATTTTAACCACCGTTTTGGGCGGTTTGTGGGCGTTAGATGCGCTTCACAGGAATCTCATGAATCTGCATGCCTAATCCCAGTATTGTAGCTATTATAGTTTCCGTGATCACAGCGTTCATGCTGACAGACTTGGCTAGATCTACTCGGCTAATGATCCTGATCAAGGATACCTTCAGTTCTGCAGTAGGCTCGGAGCGACATGTCAGACGGCAAAAAGCTTTTTCGTTTTTTTTGTGCCTAAAACTCTGTGCCGCTGTCGACGTCAGCAGAGAAGTCGGCGCAGCATAGAAGACTGACGATGAAAACGGTCGTGAAGCAAAGAGGGCAGATACTCGGAGGTTCCCTCGCTTTATTTGTCTCATAATCTGCATGCACTCGGCGCTCTCGAAAATTTCGACCGGTCCGTTATTTTTAGGAGCATTGTTGTGTTTAAAAAAAACGTCGACAGCGGCAAAGCGTTTTAGGCACAAAAAAAAAAACAAAAACGCTTTTTGCCGTCTGACATGTTACTCCGAGCCTACTGCAAAACTGAAGGATAAATATACCTTATGCGGTCGGAAACTCTTCCTTCTACCTGTTACATAGTTTCCGACGAATCTAGAATTCACTTTTACTCCACGAGTAACGGGTATAATAATGTATGTTTTGTTGCAAAAGCATAACAGTATTTATTTTTACGACGAGATGTATAACAATTTCCTTATACCGGCGCTACTAAGCCTAGTACTCAGATCGGCTAAGAGTTTCACTAGTCGAAAAATCTTATTCTTTATAGTGTAACCGATGTAATCAAAGCTCACCCGAAATGCATGTACCATGGTCTTACTGTCAACTGGTGCAATTTAAAAGAGAATATTCTGCTGGTGCAAAAAGAAATTAAAATAAAAGTAGTAACTAGTAGTTTGAAGCTTCCTTCTCGTCCCACGGGTGCTTCCCCATCTTTCCCGCGCCACCGCAGTCCAGCTATGAGTCCCAATGTGCATTTTAGACCTTGAGGAAGTGAGAGCCGGACTGGGAACGGGGCTGTTCCGCCTGATGATGCATGAAGTCGCCCAGCATCCTGGTTATGGCTGGTGATGGCTCCTCCAGATGTCCCTTATTTCCTTCTCCCTACAGAAGCCTGCGTGTCCTCCATCTCTGCTTTAGCTGCCAAGTAGCTGGTGGAGATGGAGTCCGGTGGTTCCTCAATGGAGAGCTCGTCGGAGATCGAGCGAAATCCCACTCGGCATGTTCCTTTCCACTGGAATTCTCCACTTCAACAATTCTGCGGATTTTCCCTGTCGTGGCATTACCTTCTGTCGGTGAAATCTCACAATAATAGGCAACAGTTTGAATTAGGCGCCCTTTTTCATCTCCACTGATCTCCTGTAATTTTTAAATTCCACACCGCTTTGGCCGAACACCGCCAAAGATTAAATATCTTATTCTTTGGCCGCGGCTAACGGCGTTCATCGAAATTCACTCGCGAAATCTGGTATTTTTTCTGGTATTTCCTTAGCTTATCTGAGTACCGCGCTGACAAGCAGACCCGACGAAAAGCGTTATCCGCGTATTTGCCTCTCGCTCACTCCTGTAGTTTTCGTCGATGTGAGTACTAGGCTATACAGTGAAAATTCCTAAACGGCAAGTACAGACATTATTATGTTCGTAAAAGAAACTAAATTGAGTTGCTTGTGCGGTCCCATTCCTCGCTGATGCGGGCTGTAGCGACTTTCCCCCTCTGTGTGAACAGCCTATAAACCTTTTTTTTATTTGCAATAGTGAACATTCTTTTAACCCTATGTGAAAAGTAAAATAGATAAGTAAATAATTAACTGTTTTATATGAATTTTAAAGAGCAAATAATTCTAAGTACCGAAAGTTACGAACGTCGTAGTATATGGTTAGACACCAATTTCATAAATTCTTTTGTATACTTACTAATACCCGAAAGCATGTTATAAATCTTACAAAAATATTAACACAAGCCTGAAGTAATAAAAAGGTAAAATTTTAATATAGAAGATCAAATCATGTGGAAGGCCACAGAAATCGCTTATTGCCTAACTTGTAGGTGGTGGAGTTGGACTGGTGGGGGGAGGTTGGTCGGTGGTGGTGGTAGGAACAGATGGCGATTTCGATTTTGAGTCGAATCCAATTAATTTATTTTTGCCGAATAAAAACTTTAGCTTTATTATTTTGTAAATCTGCATACATATATTTATTTATTATTCCTATCGTTGGCTATACTTCCGAAAAGTACCGATAACGTACAAATTATCATCTCAGTATGCTTTAGGACCTTGATTACGAATGAAAACGTCAAAGGTGGCAACAAGACCTAGTGCCAAAATATGATGTCTTTCAAAAAAATTGCAAGGAAAGTAGTACTCATTAAAATAAACAATTAATATGAAGTCAAACAAAAATGATGCTTGTTGCCCCTGCTACCTATTATTACCCTACACACAAAAGTCAAATATTTTTAGACTTGATTAGAGACTCAGTCTGTCCAGGATATGTAAATAAAGCCTAAGGCCTAGTACTCGGATCGGCTATGACTTTTATGTTTTAAAAGTTCGCCCGCAATGCATGTAGCATGGTCTTATTGTCAAGCAGCTGGGTTTGTTGACAATTTGAGCAATTTAAATAGGACTAGTCTGCTGGTACACAAGTGATTGAAAAACAAGAGCAAACGCTATAGCCGAGTGCCTCGACTATCAGATACCCGTTACTCAGCTAAAGGGATCAAGTGGCGATGGAGATATGTAAGCAGCAAAGCAAGATTGTAATGCGCCAGCTCCTGAAAACTATGAGCGCAACAGTTTTGGGCGGATTGTTGGCGTTAAAGAGGGCGTGGCAAACTTTTTTTTGGGTCAATCGATAGGTATTGACGAGACCAATACATTTCAGTTAAATTTTTTGTCCAGCATGGGCGGTTTGTGTGCGTTAGAGTGGCCGTGACAAACTTTTTTTGGGTTAATCGATAGGAATTGACGAGTCTAATACATTTCAGTTAAAATTTTTATTCTAGCATTAAAAGTGTAGGAGACACCGTTTGGGCGGTTTGTGGGCGTTAGAGTGGGCGTGGCACACTGACGAAACAAACTTGCGCTGATTAGGGATCTCTAGAATCTGCAGGCCTAATTCCAGTATTGCTTTTATAGTTTCCGAGATCAGATGGACATGACTAGATCGACTTGGCGGCTAGAGATCCTGATTAAGAATATATACAGTTTATAGCGTCGGAAACGCTTCCTTCTACCTGTTATTTACTTTCCGACGAATCTAGTATACCCATTTACTCTTAGAGTTACGGGTATAAGAAATGGAATGTTCAAGTGATGTTTACAGGAAGTCGCCCAGCATCCTGGCAATGGCTGGTAAGGGCTCCTCCAGATGTCCCTTAGCGGGCGGCGGTTGTTTTTTCTCCTCCCTGTAGCCGCCAGCACGTCGTCCAACTCCGTATTAGCTGCCAAGTAGCTGCTGGAGGTGGAGTCCAGCGAGACTAGTATTACTGGTGGTTTGGTTACGTTGTATGTTGTAAATATCTAATTACCGTAAGCAAATTCTTCTCAATGGGCTTCCCGATTGGATTATCTTCAGCACTTCCACAATTCTGCGGATTTTCCCTGTTGTGGTATTGCTTCCTGCGGGGAAAATTCTGCAATACTGGTAAACAGGTTGGATTAGGCGTCCTTCTTCACCTCCTGCTGGCGTTTTCTTCCATTTTTATTTTTTCATTTCCACACCCCTTCTGATCGGACACACTGAAAGTATTATGTTCCTATTTTCGCGGCGGCTAACGGCATTCATCGCAGTATACTCATGAATCTGGTATTTTTTCTGGTGTTTCCTTAGCTTATCAAAGTACAGCGGTGAAAAACGGATCCGACGAAAAGCGTTAGCTTTCTTTTTGCCTCTTGTTCTCTTCTGAGATATCTTTTTGTTTGCTCTTTTTATTTCGTTCAGAAATTATAAAGCCGTAAGATACGCCGGCAGCGGCGCATCGGTCTTATATAAATATCTGACAGCGGTGATCACTGATCAGGTGAATATTTTGCTGTCGGCCGGGTGTGTGAACAAGCCGACACAGACGCTTATCACTCGCTTAAGGCGAGTTAACATTATTGCCAAGAGTACAGTGTGAACTCAGTATGTGTAAATATAACGATCTCAGAAATAATAGGTATCAAAAAGAGAAAACTCTAATGCACATTTTTAAACATTTTCAAAAAAAACATAAGTCTAAGCAAGAAGATTTTTAAACGAAATCTTTTTGGACTTACTATTAGTTTTGTTTTGTTAAACTTTTAGTATTAAAATTGATGTTTCAAGCCGAGTAAAAGTTCTAAATGAGTCTTTTAAACTACCTTTTTATTGATACAAAAATGTTTATGAAGTAAATTGAAATTAAGAGTATATTTAACTTATGTTTCGTCAAAATACTTATGCCGACAAGTTAACATCTCCCTCCGTTTGAGAGTTTTTTTATCATCCAAACGGAATTTAATTGACCTTTAAGTAAGTTTAAATTAAGAGTATATTTAACTTCTGTTTCGTCAAAATACTTATGCCGACTAGTGTACATATCCCTCCCTTTAAAAAACAACGATATTCTATGTACATAGTTAATTTATTATTTTAAAAAATGTGAAATTATATTTATATTTTATTGTTGTTCATATTTTGATTGTATATGTATGTTTGATTTAAAGCATTTGCCGATTGTCAATGCCATATGCCAATTGATTTACAACGGTCAATAGTAAAAGTAAATAGTATTTCTTATAAATATATATAAGGAATATAAAAGTGCAAACAAATTTAAAGAAAATTTGATAAAATGTAAAAATTATATTTGTAAATGAAATGTGTAAAATAAAAATGAGAAAGAAAGTTTTAAAAGTATTAATAAAGGAAAAGGAAGAACACTATTGTCCAGTATCTCGACTATCAGATACCCGTTACTCAGCTAATGGGACCAAAGGGAAATGGAGATATAAAGCAGCAAAGCGAGATTGAAATGCGCCACCTACCCGTGATCTCAATATATGGTTATGTGGGCGGTAGACAGATTTAAGCGTTATGCGCGTTAGAGTGGGCGTGGCAAACTTTTTTTTGGATCAATCGATAGGTATTGACGAGACCAATACATTTCAGTTAAAATTTTGTATCTAGCATGAAAATTGTGGGCGTTAGAGTGGGCGTGGCATATTCGCGTAAGAAACTTGCGCTGCGTACAAGTCTACGGAATCTAAATTTTAGATCCTATTTCTCTATCTTTGATAGTTTCCGAGATATCCGCGTTCATACTTACGATTTTTTGAAGTTTGTGGGCGGTTTGTGGGAGTGGCAAACTTATGAATTACTTATGTCAATCGATAGGTATTGATGAGAACAACACATTTCAGTTAAAATATATGCAAGCAGCAAAGCTAGATTGAAAAGCGCCATCTACCCGCGATCTCAATATATGGTTATGTGGGCGGTAGACAGATTTAAGCGTTAAGGGCGTTAAAGTGGGCGTGGCAAACTTTGTTTTGGGACAATCGATAAGTATTGACTAGACCAATACATTTCAGTTAAAATTTGTTTCTAGCATCAAAACTGTAGGAGCCACAGTTTTGGGCGTCAGATGGGGCGTGGCACATTGCGGAAACAAACTTGCACTGCGCAGGAATCTGCATGCCTAATCCCAGTATTGTAGCTCTTATAGTTTCCGAGATATCAGCGTTCATATGGACAGACAAACAGACGGACACGGCTAGATCGACTCGGCTAGTGATCCTGATCAAGAATATGTATACTTTATTGGCCGGAAACGCTTCCTTCTGCCTGTTACATATGTTAATATAAGTTGACAGATTGATAAAATTTTTATTTATAAAAATCAAACTTATAATCTTTATTGTAATTGGTAAAAGGGTATACTAGATTCGTCGAAAAGTATGGAATAGGCAGAAGATGGCGTTTCCGAACACATAAAGTATATATGTTCTTGATTAGGACCACTAGTCGAGTCGATATAGCCATGCCCGTCTGTACGTATGAACGGAAAGTATACGAGCTAGTCTATTGGGATTTGGAATGCAGATTCTTGGGCTTCCTGCCCAGCGCCCACAATTTTCATGCTAGAAACAAATTTTAACTGAAATGTATTGGTCTCGTCAATACTTATCGATTGACCCAAAACAAAGTTTGCCACGCCCACTTTAACGCCCTTAGCGCTTTAATTTGTCTACCGCCCACATAACCATATATTTAGATCGCGGGTAGTTGGGTCTTTTTAACATAGCTTTGCTGCTTGCATCTCCATTTCCCTTTGGTCCCTTTAGCTGAGTAACGGGTATCTGATGGTCGAGGTACTCGACTATATCGTTCTTCCTTGTTATTCCTGTATTAGTTGGATGCACCTAGTCGAGTTCAATCAACTTGGAAAATTCGCTGCTCTATATTCCCATGACCGCTTACCAAAAAAATGCAGTCTAGGCGCAACTTGATTTGGGTGAACTGCTGTTAACTGCGCAATCAATGATTACTCTTACTTTTGTCTAGGGTTAGCTTCTAAGCGCAATTTGTTTCCGAAGAACTTTATTCAGGGCATTTAACTGCTGTTGATTGTGCAATCAATGCTTACTCTTTTTTTTAATATTATTTTTGGTGTCAACTCTTCCCTCAGCCAGAACAGCCTAGAACAGGTCTGGAATGTGAGGGCTTTTCCTGCGCTTCTGGCGTGGAGGCTGCGCCTTCGTAGTAGTTACGTGATCGACCCTATTACTAATAATAGAAGGATGATGGATGATCCGTACCTAAGGGCGTTTACGCAAGTATCATGGCTTAAGTCTAACAAATTTTCTGAATTACAAATTGTCTTATAATTATGGGACACGCAAGGTTTTTATTGTAAAAAGTTCTCTCTTACATTCTAATAAATTTTCATATTTTATATAATTAATTATTTGTGCTTTCTTAATGCTTACATTTTTAAAGTTTTACAGTTAT